CAATTCCTAATTTTTCTTTCCATACTTTCCCTCAGTCTATTTCCAAGTCTCCCACCAGAAAAGCGATCTAGTTTGGGAGATGATGGTTTAGACCTACTTAGGCTTGAAAATTATTGAGGCAATAAAATGGCTGCCATTAAGCCTAGGGCTATTTTTAAATCTGTGAAGCAAAGCATTCTCTTGTTGGACCTTTCACTTTTGTCACTGCTTTGGTCAAATGGCAAAGAAAGGTTGTTCCATTAGTCTAGGAAGTAAAAAAACTTAAGAACAATGAGTCTTAAATTAGAAAATGAAAATATGTAGGGATTAATAAAAAGGAATTGGCCTGAGACAGTTGTAGAATATATGAATAACCTAGAATACATGAGAGGATAGGTTCCCAAATGAATAACTACAGCCTTTATAATACAGGAGGAAGAACAACTATAAACAATATACCAAAAGAACTGTAGGGTATAGGAGTGTTATTTGCACAAGCCAAAATCACTATAATAAACAGTGCAAAGGAAAGGAGGAAAAGCCAGCACAAAACCAACTGCACTGTTTTCAGATTGGATTCATACCCTCTCCCCATAGGAGCACTTTCCTTGATTACAAGCAGTGACATCTTCCAGAAGGGTGGTATCATGAATATTCCAATGAAGGAGATTCCATAAGTGGTGCTTTCTTCATTCTTCACTACCTAGGGGAAAGATGTGGGGGAAGTGGGGGGGGTTACAAATTTAGTCTGAGAAGACTGGTTGGGGGATCCCATGTTAAATGGCAAATCACCCAAAAACATATACTGTTGTCCCAGCAGTAGCCCCTTTCACTTAGGCGATCTGTCAATTAATATAGGATCTACAGAAATGATTTTATGTAGTGATTTTTTTCTCCATATCTGCATGATGTTAATATTGGTGATTCTGGGCTATGCAAAACAAAGCCTTTTTTTGCATAGCATGAGTAGCCAGCAGTTTTCTTGGTACAGTGTTCATGATTGCTATTCCAAATGCATTTGTTCTTTCATCTTAGGAGCCATGAATTCTGGAATACCCTGTTTTGAAGAATAGGGAAGCAGCTGCTGTGAGTTAAACCCTACAAAAGCAAGGTACAGTACTTGTGCCAATGTTTAAATGCAAAGCATGTAGTTGAGAACATGCAAATTCAATTCCTTATGGCTCCATATAACTTCATGATCCCTGGGTTATGGTCCATCTCAATAGAATCTTCAAGACAGCAAATATCAACATAAACTTAGACTTAAGCATAGTAAAGGCCACAAAAAAGCTAGGAAATTAATTTCAGGGGAAGGGGCAAACAATAAGTTTATACACCCAACACCTCCTCCCCCCTATCCTGATCAGTGCATTCAGAAACATGTGACTAAGTAGGCCTCCATGAATGTCTGTGCTCTTCTTTGCATTAATTATGACCTACTTGCACTGTCTTTCATTGGCTACGGTTCTAGCCAAGATACTGTACCTGTACAAAGCAGTTCTTGCAGTGATGTGTTTAACTGAGCCTTCCAACCCCACCTTGGTTCTGTTTCCCTCGCCAAGTATTCCTTGCAATTAAGATTAAGTTGGAGTCAGTCATAAAATTTTTTTCACTTGGCTTGAACACTTGAGTATGGGTAACATCTCAAGCATGGGTATACTTATACAACCAAACTGGCCTAGCATTCTTATACCTCCCATCCTCACTAGTAAATTAGAATCACCAATCCAGACCATAGCCACTAAGGATAAACCACGTGCAGCTCGTTTTTTCATATTGGTCCCAGAATTCCGAGGCTTATTGGTATCACAGGGGAAATGCATGCTGCCTTGGCCTCTGCAATAGCGTCACTTAGATTACGTCTAAGCAGACCGAAAACTCTATCAGCCATAATGCAACGATATCCATGCTCTCCCCAGTCCGTGACAACTACATAATCAGACGGAACTGTCACACGGGGAGTACTGCCTAAGCAGGGATATATTCCGTGAATGAGTAACTCCCTCTAGTAGTCACCGACTACTTAGCTTCTAACCGACTTACAGATGAAGTCACTTCTTGGACCACTGCTTGTCTTACCCGGTCTTAAGGGACTGCCATAGCCACGTGTGTGCCCTTTAGCTTTCATAATTCATGGACATGACTCCACTCCCTCTCGTGAGACATTGCCTCACTACTGGCGTGTTGAGCCAAAGATTCTAGATGGCAGCCGACACCAGCATCCGATTCCGTAACGCATTCCCCGATGTGTGTGCATTTTTTCGGCATAGATGTCCGGACTCTCGTTCAGGAAGCAACAGTCAGGGTATTTCACACATGATAAATAATCATTAAAAAAGTATGTGTATGAGCGAGGAATCTGTTTACTACAGAAACACCGAGCTTACGTTGTAGTTATTACGATTAGAATTGTGGGCAGAATTTAAAGCTTTTCTTCATCATTGAATGCTGAGCATTTCTGACATCTTCCTTGTTTCTATCTCGGGGCAATGCAGTGCAACCAATATTATATAACTGATGGAAACATTTTTTTATTGAATACATTTTATTTATAAAATTCTTAAGTTCGCAACAATAGGAAAACAAAAGGCTTTAACAGGCAGCATAGGTGCCAAAAGTGTAGTGTTTCGGCAAAATATTCCGCAAAAAAGGAAAGATAGCAGGGTTGTGCATGTAGAGGAGGTTCGAGGCGCTTTCGTGGCTGGTGGATCGCGTGCTTCGCGAGTGCCCTTCCGCCTCCTCTCACATCTGACGAATGCTTTCCTCCCGTTGGAACGATGAGAGTGGGAAGGTCCCGCTGCACTTAATGACTAGTTCCCTGTACTCAACTTCAGGCAGAAGCTCGCAAGGTAGTGCGGGAATTCTTACTTGCTTCCATCTCAGTTTATCCTGTATGCATTACAAGGTTGGTCGAAACGCTAAGGTACGCCTTATCCACATGCCCTGAAAAAGTTCCCCCTTTACAGGTCCTCTTGAATCTCTTCGATCACCGATAAAGAGCGTGAACGATTTTGGTCACCCAAGCTTGTAACTCGAGCAGAGGGCAGTGGAAAGTGAGTCAAATTCGAACACTCAACATCGGCCTTGTAAAGTTCCAAGCAAAACGTCATCTCTCGTGAAACTCATCCTCGTCCATGAGACAACTTACACGAAAGAATATCAAACCTCTTCGGCTCACGCGATCACCTAACTGAAACTCTGAAGTTCTTTGAATATAGAACACAACGTTCCTAGAACGCAGGTGAGTAAAAAGGAATATTCCATTGCATGGTGACTGTTTCGCTGGTGATCCATATATCCGTGCAATTTATTTTTGTCTCATCCTCCTATTATTGCTTCATACAGTATTACTCGCTAACAAACATTGGAAACGTAAATATTTCCCTTTTCATAAATCTTTTAGGATGGTTTCGCCTTACCAGGAATGCTGTTTGCTGAGAGGATATCAAGAACAAAAAGAATATTAGATTTTTCAGGAGAGTCTCGATTATCGTCGGTGTGAAAATGAAATATTACCAGTGGTTGTTAGCGATATTTCATACTAGGAAAGAACTTCTCTTCAACCAAGAAAATTCATGAACTATTCAAAAGCACTAGCGATAGCCCACGAAATGGAGGATCCGTCCCATCATCATAGACCCTCCAAAGGACTCACGCATGCAAACGCGGCATATTATGTAGATGAAATTGTTACAAAGCCATATGCAGCGTCAATGCCTCTTGCACACCTTGATAGCCTTTCCATTTTCCAATCATCCTCTATTTGCATCCGTCTCTTATATGAAGGCTACTCCCCCAGGGGCATCCGCCCAATCTCTTTCTCCCCAATTAAACCCTGCCAAGGGAATGGACACCTTGAAGTGTACAGACGATGAAAATAACCAGAAGCGTGCGGCATACCACTCGCCCATTTCATCCAAAAAGAACCCCATCATTCATCAACATGCAATCCCCGTGGACATGTTAGCTGCTCGACAGTCACACCTAGCCTAGATGCACCTAATGTCTCACCCTTGCTCTCTTTAGATGACAGACGACTTCCAGTTCTCGAGTCTTTAAATTTGGAGGAAATATACGAAGTATCTGCATCTGCACTCATTGCTACGGCAAGTGCAAGTCGCTAATATGGTGGAAAGAGATTGCGTGACATCAAGAGCTTCTGTGATATAGTTTTCAAACTGTGCAATGGGCATTTTGTGCTAACCCCATTTATTCGCCATCTTAGCTATTGTTTCATTCTCTGTAACCATGCAACCATGTACTGTAGGGGGAGGCTTTCCGTATACAGTATTTTATCCCTCTCTAGACTCAACTCGAGAGAACTAATCTTTTCCAGGATTGGCATTCCAGACGTCTTCCACACGGGCAGCGAGAGAATGTCGTTTCATGTTGGGATGGCAGATGGGAAACAAGAATCACATGATTGATTCAGGGTTCGAGTCTTTTTCTATTTTTGAACGTCATCCAGTTGCCTCCCCCCTCCTCCCTCAACCTCCTGCTATTCCTACCGGCATTTCAACTTTTTCTCTGTGGACATCGCAAGTTTCTCGGATTCCACGAAGGTCAAAACCCTCTTGCCTATTTCGACCGGCATTATCCCTATCTCTATTGGCTGTCTTGTGAGGAATGGCACGATGAAAAACGAGAATAATAAGTCGCTCTTGCCCTTCTGGGGTTTAAGACGACGTGAGTTCATGGAAAAGGCGATAATGCCTTTACAGGAGAGTCTCGAGCATATAATCGACTGAAGTCACTATCGCAGGGCCACAAAGCCCTTGGATTTTCTGTACAGATCGGGGACCATCATGATCAGGATCACAGCATCAGTCCGAATTGAGTTCATGCGACGTTCTTAAAAAAAAATCTCATTTCGGATTAACGACAAAAAAAAACTAAAATAAATAAGGATTAGACTGCTATTCAATAAAACAGTTCCTCAGACAAAGGATCTCTCGGTAATATTGTTAATAGATAAAAGGAGCGTGAGGGGTAGAGAGAGAACATTGTTCAGCACTCAGGATGAGGGGGGGGGGGGGGGTATTCCACTGTGACAGGAGTTCCACTCAATCACGAGCATTGCTTGATGAGAATTTACTTGCACTGGCCTGCTTTTCAGTTGCCGAAACTGGACTTTTTCAGTTGCTTGCGCAGTCGGTTGCGAGGGAATGTAATCTCGGACAACTGCCGCCATCGCCTGTCCCCGTCCTCTCGCTTCTTTTCCCTGCCGCGGGAGAAACGTGTGACGGAAAGAAACTGCCTCGATTGCGATCTTTGTATCCACTGAGAAACAACGTGATGTTGGCACTATAAATATGAGATGAGCTCTCGCTCTTGCCTTTCAGCTGCACAGGACGACATGAGTTCGTCGAAGAGGCTGGAATGCCTCTCCATGAAAGTCTGGAGCACGTTGTTGACTATAGACACTATTGTAGGGTTCCAATGTCCCTTGGCGATCCTACAGAAAGCAGGGAACACGATGGGCATGATCACAGCATTATTTTCTTCTATCAGGGACATGATATACTCGTGGTTCCAGAAACAAAGGGCGCTCTCGGCAACCTGCGCACCAAGAAGGAAAAATATTAGGTACGTATTGTACTCTATCACGTTTAAAATCGATGCAGAGATGCTAACTAGGAAATGTGGACTAGACACGCATCTCGCAATCTGCTGAAAGAGCGGCTTCTGGATCTTCTGGAACTGGTACGGATGCATCACATCCAAGATTTCTTTCATCTCGTTTAAGAACATGATCTCCTTCTGGGAGCATGTCTTGGGCCAATATCGCAGTAAGTCATTAATCACCTGAATAAATGCAGAAGGAAAAATATCTGACATTCCACAAAATTGGCAAGTTTTTGCAAAATAACAGAAATCAAAATCGCAAACCTTTTCAGTGAGTGAGTGATCTTTCTCCAGGAACTGGATTATGCAGTATGCCAACTGAGCATGACACGTGGACAAGGACCTGACTTTGTGGAGAGGGATCAGCACTTTGAATAAGAATTGCTCATGTTCTGCTTTTAGTGGTAAGGCGAAGCCATTGATGACACTACCCAGACAGAAGGGGGAAAAAAAGAGGAAATAATTTCTCCTACTGAATGTAAGTCGCTGAACTCGTTACATTTGCTTTCACCTACCTTCCAAGAACCTCTAGTAGCTCTGCCATACCATTGAACTTCTCAGTTTCATAAATGTATCTGAAATATAAAAAGACAGATACAAATTAAAATTAAAATAGGACAGAGAAATGCGGGAAACGCAAAGAGTCGGTACAATGTCGAGTCACATCACCTAAGAAAGATGTGACTGATCTGTTTCCGAATGTAGGCCCTAAGGCCCAGAAACTTCCCATAGACTCTGTGAAGAGCAGTCTTTAGGTAAGCGCGTTCTCTCGGGTCTTCACTGTCGAACAACTCCAGAAGCTAAAAGACAAGGCAAGTTCATTTTCAAGCAGTTAAACAGGACAATGACCTGTTAATACAAACTAAACAAGTTGGGGGTTAACAGCATCTTGCCTCCAGGACAAACTTCTGATCAATGACCCTTTTGGCAAGTGTAGCTTGAAAGCTGTGGGATTCCATGAAGCGGAGGAAGAATTCATACACGAGCTGAGAGGAAAGAAGAGGATACAGATCATCATGACCAGCACCAGATGCTTGCAGAAACCAAAGACCCGATGATGGCTGTTATCGGTACACCCATAAACCAAAGTGCAGGTAAAAGAAAAGCTCCAGCACCCTGTACCTGCAAATGCGGCCACGACGCTTCCAGAGTAGGGTCGTCGTCTTCCGGATCGAAGCTGGGGTTCTCGCTCGGTGGAAGACTTCTAAATAAGTTGCACGATACCTGGGAAAGAGGGCCGGAATCACGAAAGCACCCAGAAACAGAGCTAGGCAAGAACCTCACCTACCATCTTGATGATCTCGGGATACACCGGTTCCGTGAGCAGCCCTCCCGCCGTCATGTAGTCCACGAGCTCGTTGAGAGTGGCTTTCTTTACTTCTTTGCCTTTCGCATCGGCTATTGGGTCCATGAAGTCGAAGAAGACAGAGCATTGGCGAAGCTTGCGGATGAAGAGTTCCTCTTGTTTTGCTGCAGGAACGTCTGCAGAAAAATTAATATCGTTCAAGAGAGTCTCCAGAGAGGAGCAAACGATAGAAGAAGCAGTTTTGAGGAATGACCGTCTCAACAATATCAAAATATACATCTAACCTCAAAACCACGAATCAAAAAGGATAGAAACTATCAAAACAAAAAGAAACTGGAGGTGCCTTCCGATGATCTCTCCTGGCTCCGGTCGCAAACTGATTGCGATTGTGGAACGCACTAAAACAGTCTTGCGGCGAGGGAACGTGCTCAGGCCCCAGTTTCGTGCATGTCCAGTGACATTCCGTCCTCCTTGGGAAGCGACCTTGGGCCAACAGCACTCCATGTCGTCAATTGAAAATTCATATCTTCCTCCACAGCCCATGGAGGAATAGCTGTGGGAACTGTGGAGAGATTGTTTCTCCATGACCACATTGCCGTTGTAGTCGCATTGGTTGATGGAAAAGTGACGTCATAACCACAAACAGGAACAAAAACAGTTCTGCTTCAATCTATCTTAACCTGGATGGGCACACCGAAACGTGCCTTGGAATAGATCTAGATCCGCATAAAGAAAGATCTGGCATATGAGAAAGTAGACCTACCATAGGCATACCTTTAATTAAAGGCAAAGGCTGAAGCTCCTCTTCTTGGCCAGTTCGATATCTTGGAGAACCTTGGGATCGCTTTGGCTCCTTCTTCATCGACCTCTTCGAAAATGGGTCGATTTTGTCGACAAATGTCGGAGAAGTCGACATCACCGATGGGCCTGCACCTGCTCCTGTCTCGCACTCGCTCATGTTGAAATTCTGTCTATCTTGTCACTTGAAAGTGGCTCCCATACACCACGACGGTGTACTTCAGTGCGTTTACACTCGGGTTCAGAAATGAGCTGACACTGAGTTTCCGTCCACTATTATCTACGACTGTTACATCTGAGATATGCCGATTATCTATGAACAGAGTCTGGACACAGCCTTGTTGGATGGTCGTGATGCACTTGATGTCTCAAAAAAGATTCACTTTTAGCAGTTGCAGAGTTCGATCCACTGAAATTAGATCTTATAATTCAAAACTAAGAAAAAATCATTTAGCACCAAGTTCATTCTTCAAAAAATACGAAAAAGCCACGATTTCGCTTGTTCAATGGCAATCCTATCAGTTCCACATATTTCCAAACGGTTGTTAAGGAAGCCTCAAGATTTTTCTCAGTCCTCCTTCATACAAGTAATTACAGGTAAACTCATATTTTCAAATTCCATGTGCACAAGGTTTCATGTGAGGACTCAGAAAAAAAAGATCAGTTCACACTTCGAGGGACTGGCCGGCTTTATAGACTTTTAAAGTCCGGTCTTTATAGACCGGACTTTAAAAATTCGTGTTTATCCAATCCTTCCTATCCCATTCCTTCCACAGGGACGTCGCGTGCGCTACTCTCCTAATACGTATTTTCTCTGTCCAAGGGGAAAATCGGTCAGGTTATCCAGGGCCCCATTCAACTATGAGTAATTTGATTAGTTCTTGCACACAATTTTAAATACTAGAAAAACTATCTTAAAACATCAACATGTCGCGTCATCAAAAGAGCGGTTAACTGAGCCTGGTGGAAAAAGCAGCGTCAACGACACGGTGGTTGACAGGGCAGGCAATGTGTTATTGCTTACGAAGCTATATGCCCATCTGTCTACACTCTTCGCTTGTTACTCTGAAAATGGGGGAACAAAATCTTGCAATTTTTTACTCTTGAATAGGAGTAATCTACGGAATAACATAGTGGAAAATCGCAGATAAAAGATTACAAACTTGGCATTAAATTTTTTTTAAATGCTCTAGTGTGTTCATGTAAAAGGAAATCAACATTCTGAACTCCATCAACATCTCCGGTGGCAAATTTACCTTGAACTGGGTAATGATGTTACAATTCTCGGAAATGTTGAAGTTCAGGACGTAAGATTTATTTTAATGAACAATCCAGTACAAATTTAAAAAATTTAATTTTAAGTCTGTAACATTTTATATGCAATTTTTCACCGTCACTCCGTAGGTTACTCCTATTCAAGAGTAACAAATTACTAGATTTTGTAACCCCATTTTTAAAGTAACATAGTTAAGAGATTATTATGACAAAAAGGAGCCGAGAGCTGTTTGCTCCCAGTCGCCACGCAATTCTTTCTTCCGTATTTTTTACTTGCCCTTTTCATCGCTTTCTCTATGACTTGCCCGAGGGCCAAGCAAAATCAAACAAAAAAACGTTTCGATTTAATCATTTAAGATGTACAAAAATTAGCATTTGGAAACTTAAGTCTGAGATTCGTGGTAGGGGAGTGGAGAGTGAGCAGCCTAGGCAGCAAGAAACACTGAAGGAAAATAATGAATTGGGTAGAATGTGAAGGACATACGGATTGGACGGGTAAGAAGGGAAAGAAGATGTAGGCAACATGGGAGTCTGAAAAAATAAAAGTATGAATCCAAAGACCATCTCAATCCTGCGGTTTCTGAGGTCCCTCTCAGGGACAGGCTTCGGCAAAGGAAAACGTTATTATTCTCCAGAAAAATTTTCCTACTGTTTCCATGTTTTTTTTTTAACGATCAGGTCAATGCTTTCCATCAAGCTTAAACACAATAAAAGTAATGGAAACCTTAGCCCAATAAGAGATATCGGCATATTAGATGCCAAAAAAACTTCAGTTCCAATCCCGTGGTTTGAATTTTTCTTGTAATATGACATTTTTCATGCATTATCGTAAAACAATGAACTATAAAATTGGTAATTTTGGCTCTTCACTTTCATATAGACCGCCAGCTACCACCTCCAAAAAAATTGAGGTGTCCACTGATATATAAATTTTCTCGGATAATATGAAACTGGGTTGGCAGGCCACTTGGCCTCGGTGAATCCTCGAGAACCATGCAAGGGAGGGAGGGAGGAAATTAGTGTCAGACAAAATATTAGAAATCAGTCTTTCATACCCAGCTTTGTATTTCACTCTCTGAAACAGTAAAATGACTAAAAAAAATTGATGTTTTGTTAGCATTAAAGCATCATTAGCTTTAAAAGTATTATTAACATAGAAGTACTACTAGCATAAAAGCACCAACAGTGTTCAAGTATTTGAAGATGTTAATAGAGCAGGTACATACCTAAATGGGGAATTTCAAAAGTAAGTTGCCTTAAAATCGCTGGCGCTAAAATCGCTACAGCGAAACAACTAAAATGCATGCATAATTCAACATTATTTTACTGTAACCTAGAGGCACGTCTCCGATGGCACGAAGGAGGTCTAATGAGGGAGGTAGCATGAAATATGACAATTTTAGAGGACCAATGAAGAGTCTAGTCTATGAGCAATATAAAGTTATTTCTGTTCTTGAGTAAATCAGTCATGCGTCAAATACAAAAAAATGCAGCATTTCAAGAAGACACATCATATACAGTATTGCGAATTTCCAAAAAAATGGATTTCACTCGCACTTCATCGACCACAGTTCAATGCCGAATGCTATGAACATTTCACAGCACGTGCAGACAAAACATAAAATAATTACAAAAGCGATGCAGATTAAAAGGGCCCACAGAACTGCTATCTTGCCAACAACCGGGACATGCAAGGATCCAAGTATTGAAGAAAGGAATACAACAAAACCAAACTTCAGGTTTCACTCCCAGCCGGTCAATTTACGGGGGCAGGAAAATCCCTTACTTTCAAAGGCCTCTCTATTCAGGAAATAAGAACCTAGCATATAAGGAAAATATTAAGTTAATTGTAAACGGGAAAGGAGGAGAGGTACAGAAAAAGATTGGGGAAGGGGGTTGTTAGGCATTTAAAATCTGTATTACAACCTTGACCGGTTCAGTCCAACTCGACTCAGATTCCTTCATGGAATTAGATTGTACAGAACGTACACCAGGAGTTACTGCAATCAGCTAGCATATATACTCCGAGATTTTCTTTGAAACTTTCAAAGGGAATTTTGACAAAAAGTTAAAATTCTAGGAGACAAAGCTGGAAGTCATGTTTCTGCGAAACACCATGCCATTGGGCTGCTTCAATCAAGCGACGATTTTCCTGAACTTGTAGCATTCTCTCAAATAGACCGTTTCCAGGCCACAATTTAACACCAACATGTTGCTAGAGGCAGTTGTGAAACTTAATTTATTGGGCAGAGGGTGCCCAAGTACTATGAAAATGTCACAAAATGTGACATTCGCACAAATGTGAAAGTCACGTATGTGAATTATTCCCACTCTCTCTCCTTAGATAAAATGCCCAATAATCCTGAGCTCTTTAATCGTCCCAGTCTCACCAGCTGAACGACGAACCACGGTAGAACTAGACAACACAGTCTCAATCCGCAACAGTGGACTCAGCAAACCACAAGACAGTCCGAGCCCTGAGGCCTGAAAAGCAGCAGTGGGTCACAAGAACACAAACAATACGCGTGCACAGCGACCGTTCACGAATAGAAGTGGAAGGGCAAAGCAGGACAGGGGCAGACAGGGCCAGGAGACAAGAAACGGTTTCGCCACGGGCGTTAGACGAGCATAGATACCCACGATGGAAGTCACAGTAGGTGGAAGGACAGAAGAGATTCCCGGGACGTCTACAAAAAAAGGAACCCTGCCCTGAGTGGGCCCTAATACAGGTGTGAGGATTTTCTTTACAGACCTTATCGCATTCGAAGGCGAGAGGCAACAATATTGAAAGGGAGCAGGAGCTGTTTCTCTATTCCTTCCCCTTTCCCTTCAGGTTAAATGCCTCGCCGTGGCACTCACGTTATTCTTTATACATCTTTTTACCTACGATTCATAAAGTGATTCCCAACCCTTGAGGAAGACATTCTAAATGAGTCTAGATATGAGCGAGGAGCCATGAAACGTCAATGGGTAGACTGAAGCACTAAATAAACACAACCAAAATCATTGAAGTGAATTACACTCTCGAATTGATTGAACAGGCTCCGACATCTGAGACCATTGGTGATCTCACTCACTTCTCCTTCGAGAGCAACTCCTCGATACCAGCAAGGAGCTGAAGACCGAATTGGAATCGAGGGAACCTACTGAGCTTTGTCAACCTGAGTACTGCATCATCTTTTACCTAGAAAGCAATTTCGGCACCAGGAATGGATTTTGGGTCATTATGTTGAAACAAACAACATGGTCGAGGAACCGAAAATGGGGGAGTCCAACGCGTCGAATAAACGTGATGACTACCACGCATGAGACAACCTCGAAAAGGAATATTTTAAAATGACGAATGACGAAAAAACACGACGAATGGAAACGCCGAAGCTTTTGGGCAGAGATAAGATCTCTCGCCCACTCTCCCACCCATCCATTCCAAGTGGATACGTCGCCTAACGCTTTCCATTTCATTGCTCAAGTGCCTTTGGGGCTGATGCGTGTGAAATCAACCCCTTTGAGCCCTCGAACCTTCAGAAGGCAGAACATTTTCACGCGAGCTGGGAACGGGGAAACGGACAAATAAGTGGTTTTGCTGGTTGTGAGTTTAGCTCCCACAAAAGGGTTCCAAGGCTTGGAACCCTTTTGTTCCCGGAGCTGTTCGGGAAGTTAAGCATTAGGATTCCACACCTTTTCTGTTCTTCAAATGTTCATTTCTCTACCAATTCTCATCTCTCTGGCAAAAACATCACTTACTTTTCATTTGTATTACTTCCTTATCTCCCCCCCCCCCCCTCTTATCTATGGAATAGACAGAAAATCCAAAAATCAGATATAATATATATTGTTCATGGCACATTAAGCCAGTCCTCAGTGAACCCACGATTTCGTCCGGATTCATGGCTCATCCAAGTAATCGAAAACCTGACCACTTATTTTTCTTTTTCCCTGGTGAAGAAAACTGAATCTCCCAGTGTAATGCAAAATGCCTTCATTTATTCGTTTTTATCCAATGCGAATGGGAATCACTAAGTGATTCAAGCCAGTCACATCGAAGAAATCCAGAATATTTCATTTGTGCTTCGCTTCACACAATAAAACTTCCGTGTCAGGTAAAGACGAGAAAGCTATGAGGGGAGGAAAGCAAGAAACTTGTTGAGGCTCTAATGACAGGGATGGATGAGACTGTTATGACCGCAACGAGAGAAAGTCTCTATGACCAGAGCAATTCCCACTACCCGATTCCAAGACAGGATAATTTTTTTTTTTTTCTTCTTACTAATACCTGAGGAAGGGGAAATGGAGACGAGAGTAAGAGATCGAAAGCACTTTTATTCGGGTATCCCATAACTTCTACTACCGATCCACATTACCGAGGAGAATGACTCGGAGGAAAAGAGACTTTGTCCATATAAACGGAAGCTAGGGAATTACGGCGTTCGAATTGCAGAGAAATTTTACGTAGGTGCTTTGGGACTTCTGCTCGGACCATTCCTCTTGTCCGAATTAAAGGGAGCACCGGATAGCTGACGTTCGGATAAACGAGAGTTATCTGTACATGACTTAGTGCAGTTTTCAGCTCTGGCGGAATATAACCTGAAATTAAACTTGAAATAGTGTAAGATCTCTATAAAAATTCATATTGGTGGCCAGGCTGCACTTCTCGTCAAAAAATCTCGGGGGCCAGCCAAGCAACTAAACCAATTTGATTCTAAAAGGAGAGAGCCTCGATGGATGTGATGAGTAGAGGGTGAGCATTCCCCTTCGAGGAATCCACGTCTAGACGGGGGAGGAGGGGAAGAAGAAACACAAAGAAACCAGTGAAAGGCGGAGTCTCTTTTCCTTTCTTGGCATGGAGAGAATGACTTCATTCAGAAATAACTTCTGTATTCAACGACCTATTCATGTAAACGTATGAGTATGCTCTGCGGCATAAATCGTCAGACCAATTCTCTACTGCGTCATGCACGATTTGTTCATGAATGTTTCTGCGATATTGTCTTCGTTTTTCTGGTCCAACCACGACACTCATTTCATCGAAAAATCTTTCAAAATTTTCTCAAGTGAAATCTTCATGCAGCATCTTCGATTGCATAAGTCCATGTATGGGACAAATCGCAGCAATTAGTCATGTTCCCTCCTGGTTGAGTATCATCTCAGTCCAGTCTCGTCGATGAGAAAATAGGAGAGTGAGCCACAGAGCAAACAAACTTCAGTGGAGATATTGAAGCAGAAACCCCCGTATCAGAAATTCAATCACTTCATACGTAACTGTTGGTTCATAGGGTCACGTTAACGGTTTTAATGAAATAGACGCCGATATGTCTTTCCTATAGATGGACGGAGGTCCAACTATTAATATATCCTGTCCTCATACAAACTAATAAATTTCCTTGCGTTCTGGCGCCCATGAAGTTTTACTTGATGTCCCCATCTAATGAGCCATTTCGGAGGCAGCATTCACCTCTTTCTTAGGGGGTCTTCCTTTATACATGTAAAACCGAAAACTTGCTGACATTTTTTCACAGACGGGTAAAAGAAGATATGTTATCCTGAATAACCCTTATCCATTGGCCCCCCCCCCCCCCCCCCATGGTATATTTCATTTTATTACTCTCCGCAATTTTTTTAAAATATTATTCAAATTTGATATGGGTTTCATAGACAGTCATCCATAGATTCAAAAACGAATTTTTAAAGTTTGGATTTGCTTTTAAGGAAAAAATTCTAAAAATGTTAACTTATATGAATACCCACTGCAAGACAATCCAGGGTTTACGCCTTTCATATCCCATTCGATTAAGAGATTCTCATCTCATTGAGCATTCGCGTGGCGTGAACGAGAAGGTGCCACTGCAGCCACCTTGCCCGGATAAGGGATAATGTCCTTTTCGTGTTGCGGTTAGAAAGGGAATGTACGTATGAAATGTATTTTGTATCCGCAAATACAAATCTTTGCACCAGGACACGTCAATACACACCTTATAGATGTAGATTAATGCCATACTTCCCCTCCCAGACCTTCGAGTCCAGGACTAAACCGCTCGCCCCTTCCTCGAGAGCACACTACCAAGGCGAGGGCAGTCCATCGATACCTCACTTACCAATTTCAATCTATTACATAACTAAATTATTAAAAGGTTTTAAAGTAACTAATGGCTTCCTCTCGAATTGCTGCACCTACCGAGGAATTGTGCATGGTGGATGTTCAAATCCTCCACAGACTTTATACTGGTCAAGAACGCGTCCAACATCATCGCCTTTATGGGCAAAGCATTTAATGACAGTCCTTCCTATTTTGAAAAATTAGCCATATTTAATCATTTGATTTAACCAGCTCTATCGAAAACGTCTGCATACAAAATTAGTCATTAGAGTACTGAGCTGAAATTCTACAAAAGTATTGTTAATGCCGTCAACATCACAATGTTGCTCCTCTAAAGAGGAAGGAGCTGCGCTGTAGTAATCACCACTTTCTGAACGCACCTCGTAAAATACATAACATGCGCTCTCTTCTTCAATTGCATTCACGTTGTCTCAGGATGTATGAGTGGGCATCAAACATTATTGGCAGAAGAAGCATTCAAAGTGACACGTGGTAGATCGTATTTCCATCAGAGGTCGCGTGCCCTCGCGTTCATGCAATGCAGGTTTCAAATAACTCGGATATTGTTGCATGCATGCCCCGTGCACGATAATAACCAAGTACTGCACTCAGACCGACGTTGCTCATCCTTCCAGAAAGGCAGCGACCGGAAAATCGGTATCCGGAACGAGCGGGAGGAGGGGGTCATCCTCTCGTGCAAGCTAAATGGGATCCCGAGGAGAAAGGATCCTTCACATCCGATGGGATTCTGGCGCTGCTATGCTTTCAGCTAGCCTTCGAGTACTCGTATACTGTGAATCTCTTCCCTTCTTTTCTTCCCCCGTTTTCTACATCCACGTTCCAATACGGTGATAGGAAGAGGGCAATGAGAGAAATGACAAGGTATATGCTTCGAATTTCGGCTTCATTGCCTGATAATAAAAAAGATCACTCGGGTTTAACAATGCGGGGTACAGGGTTTCTTGAATAAATTTTTCCATGCATAGTCCTAATCAGGAAGAACAAAAATGAAATAGGAGATAGAAATGAGGAACAAAGTTGACACCAGTACAAAAAATCCATAATTTTTGTAGCTACGGTGGAAAACGACTAAGGCTGAATATCATTGAGAACTCACTGGTAGCGATAACATGGAAGGCATAACATGGAAGGCATAACATGGAAGAATATTGCTGGTTGATCAAGTCTGAATGAGTGACTAGGCCTTATACCATTCGACTTCGCCCTCTTATTGTGCCACACTCTCGCGAAGCCTTTATCCTGACAGAAGCCGTCCACTGAATCGCATACACTACTCCAAAACTTCCAAACGCATTCGATGTCAGCACACGAGGGGTTAAGTCTTACGATTAATTCGTATCAACCATCACACAAAATACCACTAATACTACGGGAAGGAAAGACACAGACTTGGTTCTGGAAGGGGATGAGGGAGAAGGCGCGGAAGGATGTGTCAATCCGTTCGTCGGTCCTTGGAATCAAGAGGAGCAGTGGGGTGAATAGAGGGAGAGCCGAGGATCTCGGCCAGATTCCGCAGCACATCCCCGAAATCCCGATTGTTGATGTTTTGGCCAAGGAGGTAGAGGAGAAACCAGTCCCCGAGGTAGGAGGACTGGAGAACAGTGTCCAGCGCCGCCTGAGGCTGCACGTGAGGAAACCTGAACCAAGAAAACAAGCATACACAAACGACAAGGCTATAAATCCGACTCCAGCTTCCCGGATGGAAAGAAAGGAACGAGGGAAACGACAACTCACCGATTCTTGAAAAGGTAATGTCGAAACCGAGGGCTGAAAACGATGAAGAGTCGGTAGACTCCGAGAAGTAAGGTCGCCCCCAACAAGAAGAAAAACCAGAACCAGAGGAAGATGTAGACCTTCTCGTTGATAATATTGAGCGGAAGGATGCAGATGGCATCGAAATACATTTTCCCTCCCGAGGGACCGAAGTAATGGAATTCGCATTTCGTCATCCTTGGAAAGACGTAGATCAGCGGGTCGGCTCTATTATCTTGATCAGCTTGTACGAGTTGTATGTACGAGATCACTTCCAGGCCATAACTGAAGAACAAGCCTTGGAAGAATCGGTCGAGGAAGAACAATTGTCCTATCAATCAGAGGAAGACAGAGTGAGGAGGAGATGCCCTGACGAAAGCTTTTCAAAATTGCACTACCCTTCGACCCCCAAAAAATGTTTATTACAATGGCACCCCATGTGATGGCAACCCTAGGGTGTTTTTGTATTTATTTTGCTTTTTTTTTAAATTAGCAATTACACATTGGTCAGAGCCGAGTATTTCCTTGATGCTGTAGAAGATCCAGTGTTATACAGCATGGTTGTATGCAGAGATCGCTTAATTGCAAGTACCGCTACAATAAGCACATAAGGACGCCTGGTCATATCTGGCCGATTTCGTCATACTTCTCTGGCTGTTTCGTCCGAAGAAATCGAAAAAGAAGTCACATAGAAAAAGCTCTACGTATCTTCTTGTATCAGAACACCTATCAGTATTAAAATAAACTTCTAATCACGCCTCCTTCAATTTTCTGAGTCAATATCGACGGTTCCTAGCAATCGATCTCTCCCAGTTCCACTTCCCTCGAAGTGGCAGTTCTTGAGAAAATGACCCACCAGAGAAAATGCTTGACCTCGGCATCTCAGAATTTTGAATTAAGCGACCTACGTAGCAACGCATGCATTTGACCTTTATAGCTATTGTGACGAGGCTGCCTAAGGCCAGAGGTGAGAATGACTAACTTCAAGGTCACGCCATTCCATTAACACCAAATCTGCTTAATGGCCAATTAGTTGATTACCTTGAGAATTGGAGGTATTGTCTGGATGCAGGGCTACCACTGACCCAAAAGCAGATGAAAAATACTAACTTCGACCCCCTTGCCGTAAAGTTCTCTTGGTAGCCTGAAGAGTTATTGTGGAGTTCAAGGGTTCCCCGGGTCTACGGGTGAATTGCATAAAACTGACTTTAGTGTAAAAAAAAAGCTTTAAACCTCCTTTAGCGGTGCTAATGGAAGTTTGATGCTTCATTACGATAGAGCCAGTTTTATGCAATCCACCCTACATCGAAATAAACTCAAGTATAATTTTTTTTAATGTTCACTTGTGTGAGATAATACGAATACACCAATTCAACTTCGATCACTTTACCAATCACGAACTTTACCCCGATGCTCGAAGGACAAATAGCCTGTAATGTTCAACTTTTGTTAATAAGAATAAAATAATAAGTACTCCAGTCAAGTTATAATACTTAATGTAGGTAAAAAGTCAATCAATCTTCGCACTTATTCATTCGTCTGTGTCAGATTATAGACTATTAACATCTGAGTGATTTAGGATGACTGCGCATAGTGGAGTCCCTGAATAAGTTCTGGCAGTACTGCAATTATATAAGAAGGTGCAGTCTATTCGAGAAAGCATCAATACTGGCTTGGCCTTCGAGATGAAGGAAGAATCTCGTGGAATTCTATTCTCTCTCGCAACCGGAGCAGGAAGTGGGAAGAAAACGGGAGAGGGGCGAGGAGCGAGAGCAATTGGGCGCATCACAATCGCAACGCCGTCTGCCTTTTCCTTCAGCCCTATGAAGGCCTCAGCTTACTGCCAATTTCACTCCATGCACTCACCGACGAGATTGACGAGGGAGAGGAGTTCGCAGATGAAGTACTTGATGCAGTACCAATTGTGATTCCCCATGTTCCGATCCAGATAATCCACGAGATGGTTCTTCTTCTCCTCGGAGTCAGGGGCGAGGCAAAGATCGAGGCCAGCGCTGAGGGCCTCCACCTTCCCTCCTTCCCATGTCTTCCACAGGTACCGGGGAATGTAGAACAGAATCGCCTGCCGAGGGAACCAACACCACGTAGAACTAGGAACATTCATCCATTACCAGTATTCGAATTTTATCAATCGCATAAAATTCACTGCAATTTTTTTTCCATCAGTAATATGCACCATAAGAAAATTCTCGGAACTCCTTTCATAACTACATGACTAGATATAGACCTCATCGATATTTTCTTCCCTTGCATTTCACTTTTATTCTTCTTGCTACTATAAAATTTTTTAATACATTGTATGGTATCTTTCGCAATCTTGGTGATGCCATAAACGGGTGAAGGAAAATTCCCGGAAAGGGGAAGGAATCTCGTATATACGAGAATCCACCCCGTCCTGCGACGTATCCATAGAATTCAAGATCATCTGAATCAGAAAAGAGCAACGAAAGAATGGGTCGGACGCTACAAAGAAGTTCCCATGCTAGTTATCCGCCTAAGAGTTCGGCCACGTGCAACGTAGGAACAAGGTCGAGAGGAATCCCAGCAATCTCGCTTGTCTTCAAAATGTACTTTTATTCTAGTCGCAGTTGTCCCTAGGACAACAAGAACCTGGTTTTGTCGTGGAAGTAAACATATCTAGGCCTACGTATTAATGACCCAAAACTGGGACCCTTTCTTTAAAAAAAAGATCAAAGCCTTCAGTCCTTATTTACTGAAATGGGCACTCGGACCTTACGTTGCGGACGCATCATGGGTCTCGATGGAATAGGTTCATAGGCAAGAGTGAATCCAATTGTCATGCCATAAGCCTAGTCTATCGCAATCAAAGGCTTCTCTTTGCATGAAGTAGGCCTAGGCCTCAACTGACCTGAGCGAAGAGAGTGAAGCACACCCACTGATAGTACTTAACATACTTCTTCTCGTACTGTCCGTCTTTGAAATTCGAGATGATGCCAGGATGGGGCACTTCGTCCGGCTTCATACTGTGGGCATGGGGGAAGGTGAAAGTCGACTGAATCCAACAAAACGTGTTGAGCACATCCGAGTCGACGTTCTCGGGTTTGTTGCAATGAATGGGGCTGCCAACGTATTGTCGGCATGTCACCAGGATACTGAAAGCCACCAGCAGAATCACAGTCATAAAATAATGGAGTTGGAAAATGGTGGAGTCTGTCCGATAATGCTTGATTCGGACGAGAGATCCCAGGCCCTTGAGAACGTCATACATCTTCGGTCTGCTGCACGAGAAGAGGGGACGAGGATGTCAAAAGCACGGCACGAAATCAGTCTACGGTTTCCGACTGCACGATGCCACTTAGAGCTAAACACAGACAAGTAGGCGCACGTTAGATGGCTCCAGGACGACGCCGGCCGGGGGACTGAGGCTGCCTGCGCATCGGCCTGGAAGACGGAAGCAGCCTCTCCCGGCTTCTTGGCTCCCAGAAGGCCTTGCATTCGGCAAGGCCTTCTGGGAGCAGGAGCATGGGGTAGCCGCTAGTCTTTCTGCGGCTCCCCGCATATCAACAGCCGATCGTACCGTGCAGTGCAACGGGATGCCGTCCCGTCCTGTTCGATGTTACCATTATGATATTCTATTTCCTTCTCGGTTTCATTCTTCTGAGTGGTGTTGACTGCCGATTCTCATCGTTGTTTCCATAAACAAACTGAGATAGAGGAACAATGCTAAAGGAATCTTCTTACTGCATTCCCCTTCAGGTACTAGTCTCTGAATAGGCCCCATACTTGAAGCTCCTCCCAACGCCATTTCGTCGTTTGCTCTCTGGTGAGTATCGGATGAACTATTCAAACAATGCGAATGAAACAATCACAATTGAAACCTTCTTTTCTTTACAATGGATTCTCCAAGGAAGCTCCACTAACATTAGGTAATTGCCTGAAACACAAACCTAAACACGCAAACGGGATGTTTTCTAACATATACAGGTCCCTGGCATAGCGAACATGGCTGTGCTATGGGTAAATTCACGAGCAACACATGTATGGAACTTGAATGACCTTACCTACTGAACACATCCTCCCATCTTATGAATTAACATGAGGATTTCCGAATCAACAACGTCACTTTCCTTCCAGAACATTTATAAACAGGCTTCAAAATCGAACACTGATGGAGGCCTCAGCAAAGAGTCCTTGGGTTCGATTCGGCCGCCATGCCGACAGTGCACGGACACGAGTCAGCAGCCCTCGGTCTCCCAGGTCGGGTGCTCGACTGGCCCCGGGGTTGTTCCCCGGGGCTGTTCCCCAGTCAGGTGCACAGGCTGTTCGGTGGCCCGCGGACAAGCCCGAGTTCAGCTCAGGGGAGATGGTGAAGGCGCTCGCTGTGTTTTCAGTGGAATCGTTCCAAGTTCCTCGATTCGTTCTGTGCCGTCGGTTATGAATTCCCTCTTCCTCGCAAGGAACCTCTTGCAGGAGCAAATTTTACTTTCAAGGTTCTTCTTATGTCCTTCAGCTCTTGCGACATCAAACCGAAAGAGACATTGCTCTTCCGTTGTGAACAGAGCCTTTCAAATACCACCGCAGAGGTGACCTGCAACCACAGACTGCAGCTGGATACTCAGGGCAGTCTTCGCTTGTGGAGAAAACACAGGTTGACAGTCTTGGATTTTGAAGAGCATCGCTGTGAAACGGGTCTGAGACACCCGAGGCGCACCCCCCTCGGGGTCCTCTATTTCACGTGCGACTTCTATTGCTCATGAAAATGTACGTCTGGGAGAAATATCCAATGACTGGCACCTGAGTTGCCCTAGTCTGAGATGCGGGATAAACAAAAGAGAAATGGAAAGATGCAGTAAAAGGTGTGTGCGAATTGGGGAATTGGGGGGAATCTTGCCAAATTTAACTAATGAAGGCATTGGAGTAGTCCCACAGATGGTTCTGGAGACGCACTGGTCATGGCCGCGATCCCAAGAAAAGCTGAATTTGGGTTCCCATATTGGGAAAGGATCCGCCTGGATCAAGTCTAAATTGAGTGTGATAAAATGATAGCCCACGGACAGGAACGAACCGCCGCCTTCGAGTCGACATGCCAGCCAGACAAAGACGTGCAAATGAGCGTGCGAGGGGTTGTGGGGGAGGAAGCGCCTCATCCCCTCCCGAGGGCGCGCGAGGAGTCGCTGCGTTGCAATCCAACCCTGCCCCGCTTCAGAGCTGCCGGTTTCCCTTCTTCTCTCTCCCTCTTCTCGCTCTTGAATTGGTTGGAGGAATTGGGTTTTGAGGCTGGACCAGCAAGCTGGTCCAGCCTCAAAACAAGCCAAAACAAGCAATGTGATATGTGGGCTTTCATTAGCGGCCTCACGCTGCTCTGCGGACATCGCAACCCGCCGCGCACGATTTCGAAGATTAGTGGCCTTTGGACACGCTGCGTGAACCGTTACTAAGCGTATAGGGGAACGCACGCGATCGCGCTGTGCGCACGCATGCGTTATGTGTGTGCGCGCGCGCATGCCACCGACCACCACCACGGACCACAGTAGATTTTATTATATAGATTATTATATAGACTGCTACTGCTTACCCTGACGATCAGACCCAGGGAGCAGGAAAAATTAGAGAGTCTGCGGTTCAGACTATATAATTTGGACAAATTAGGGCATATTCACATTCTCAACTAAAGCAACATCGACGAAACGATTCCATTTCTAATAAATATTTTTTTTGCGCCCCTTGGCTGATCAAAAATATTCGCGGAGGAAATAATTTCTTCGAACTTCGTATGGTTTCGGTCTCGTCGTGAGTGCAAATCCCCGCTTAGGAAAGGATTTAAAGTCCAGAGAATCCTTAACTTGTCCAATGTCGGTGCTTGATGAACTTGGCATTTATCTTGCAAAAGGTTATAATGCACCCGCATTATAACCTTTTGCAAGGAGATTCCGGAAACATGGGATGGCACAGAACCTGAAAATTGTGTCAAATTGAGGCTTATTCAATACTGTATTGATCGACTCATCTGTCTCTGTCGAAATGACCGGTATAATTATCGAAATGGAAAAATCTGCTGAGATTTGTTGAGCGAACTGCAATAGATGTGGACGCCACATTCAGCTAAAGAATAGCGTAAGTCAAGAACATTTTATATGAGAAAATATCAATTTCTCTTAAAAGGAGATCGTCAAAGGGAATTTTTTTTAATTATCACGGGATTTAGAGCTGTAAACTGGGGGAAGTTTCTCTGCAGACGCACTTCCCCGCAGCTCGGGAGCATTGTTTTGGGGCAGGCGAGGAACTGAAACGATTGAAAAGGGGTTCTCGTGGGTTCAATGCAAATATGAAACATTTGCGAAAGGAATCTCATGCAAAAAAATGGGAGAAAAAGATTTTAAAAGTTTCTTCTCGAGTGAGCAGTTTTTTTTCCTCTCCTCTCTCCTTCTTCGTGTTTCCGCAGGATTTTTCCCATGAATCAGTGAAATGATTTGGAGGTATAATTTGTTGTTTGTAGATTAGCTTGCATTTTGATTCCAAGTCAACCTGTGCGGTAAAATCCGCTGTGCCCGACACCTTCAGGTATTTAGAAGTGTAATTTTTAGCACTTTATTCATATTAATTTGAAAATGTTTGCTGCATTCTTGCAAAAGATGGCTCCAAGTGTGAAATGAAAGAAAGACGGGGGTTACCCCTTGTCCCTTATGGATATTTATTGCCGAGCTTTCCGTCATCGATTAATTCAACATAGGGAAACAACGCTGACTTTAAACGACGAGCCCAACGTCCTTCTCTCCTTTCGCCCTCCTTCTCTCCCATTTCTCCAAAGTGCCAACTTTGAGTCTTTTAATGAAAAGTAAAGATGCATGGGCCAAACTTCACCAGAGAAAATTTTCAATCCTGTTAAAGCGTTTCAAGGGAGTGTGAGTATTTCATTGTTTGCGTATTCCTCGATGCGATTCACGTTAGCGGATGTGAATGGGACTCCGAGTTCGTTGCTTGTTCACGTAGGCGTACGTGAGGCGTACTCGCATTCGCCTCACGTGGTTAATGCTTTGTGCAATATTTATAGATTTGCTGCAGAGGATATAAGGAGTGTGTCTTTGGCCTCGTGCGTTCTAAAAATTATCAATCAATACGCATTCTCACTTTGAGAGGGAAAGAACAATGTGGTAAATAATAATACAAAATATACATAAGATAAAGTGCCTTATTTCAATCATTCAGCTTTTTAATGGATCACTTCAAGCGGGTTGATGATCCTCTCTCAAAATCGAACCTTTGGATTTTGATGATTAAAGGAATGCTGTCGGCGGGATCTTCGTCTTGCCAATTCCGTCGTCGAAACCCTCACAAAATCCCGCTGCTTGTCGTCCGAGGACTGCGTCGCCATCGACAACGCAGGCGATCCCAGACATGAATGATCCTTTCATTGTGCTGCGAAATTCTTCCCCTCTCTCCTCACTGACTCGACCCAGAATATTTTTCTTCATTCGGAAGAAGATTCCACGTCGGTGGAGGACATCAGCAGAGCGTATGAAAAAAGTGGGAGGGGGAAAGGGGGGAGGGGAGGGGGGCACGTGTTCCCCCTGGCCCCCACGACGCAACGCCGCTGGTGGAGGACACGAATGCAAACGATTCGGGATGGCATCCGTGAGGCCAGGGGAAGCCTCGAGTTGGACCGTGAAGGTCCGAGGTTGCATGCCACGTCTGTACCTTGTATGCTCAGATGTTGCACAAACGGTTCAGTTTGGGAGACTTTTCAGCCGAGTCCAAAATGAAGAGGCATGCGACGGAAGATCCCTTTATTCGATAACAGGTGAAAGCAACAGTGTTTACAAGAGTGCTTATGCATCGCCTGCGAGACATACCGGTAATTAGTCTTACGTTAGATACCCGTAATTTTCTGAAACTATGTTTTCATTTTTATTTTCTCATGGTGGCGGTTACTGCAATCAGGCGTTACGTCTCGATCACGGAAACCACATCAATCGGGCCATCCCCATCGCATAATCACAGGTTCGGATCGAGTTCGCAGCGTGCATCTGATGCGTCTCGGCTTTACACTTTCGTACCCAACAAAACTAACTCATCTTTAAATAAACAAATTTTCTCTCGTACTACCATGGAACGATCGTGGCGGAACTACGCAGTAGACCAGCCGAAATAGCTCTTCACTTCCGTGTCGTTGTCGTACTCGATGACGACATCCTGGCCGGGTCCCGTTTTCCGCTTCATCCGTTGCGAGAGTTTCGCCGCCTCGTTCTCGTCGATTTCCTTGATCGAGAC